TTGCCAAGTGTGAAATTTGCTTCGTAATTGGAGTTCTTCAGTTGTAAGGTGGGTTGGGGTTTCTAACACCAAGTTTGGTAGAGAAAAAGAGATTGTAGTATTATTATTGGGAGAAGGAATCCTGCTTGGAATCCAAATAGACTTTCATAATTCTACAAGTATATTGTGGTGAAGTTCGAGTGAGAGATTTATGGCTGATTTATAGTTGTAAATAGGTGTAAGCATTTCTTCAGTTATTATTCCAACAGGTATTTGGTTCTGTATATGAATTCTATAGTATGCTTGGACAAAGTTGTTAGTATTTAGGATATTTAGATTGTGTTTGGATGTGAATTGGGTTAAAGTATTGGTTAATAGTGTGGATAAGTTAATTGTGTTAGTGGGACAAGTAATCCAATATGTGTCTGTTTCTATTATGTTTGCAACAAGGTAAAGAGTGTTTTAGAGAGTAGCATTTGAATAAATTAGCTTAATTGGGTAGCTCATTCATCATGATTTTAAACTTGAAATTTTTGTTTGTTGATGTTTTAAGGTCTGTATAGTGTTGTCGTGGTTGATCGTTGAATCTTAAGTATTGAAAGGTTGAGTTCTAACAAATTTTTGAAGTAGCTTTCACTGATCTTTGAATTCTGTTTAGAGTGTATCATGAGTTTATATTGGTTGCAATGTGGAGCTTTTTGATTGTTGTTTTTATGTTGTCTGAAGTTAGATTGTGATTAAATCTTTGAAGGTAGGTGTTGTGGATAAGCAGTGATGGGTCAATTTCTGTATATAGGATATGATCGTTAGGTTGTAGTGTGGTTAATTTTAGCGTAGTAGGTAGTTATTAATATGAATTTAATGTAGATAGCTGCCCTGGTAGCAATCAGGTAGCTAGTGTTGTCATTTTTACAGATCTTGTAAGGTATAATAGATGAGGTGTCTAGTAGAAGAGGAAGTATTTTGATAAGAAATGTGGAGTTTGTTTTTAGGTAGATAAGTAAACCGTAAGATATAATTGTAATCAGTATATATAATTTTATAATAGTGATTTTTGTTAAGTTGGGCCAAGTAGTATTTTGTATGGATAATTGTGTGTTGTGATGGTCAAAAGTGAGCTTTGCAGTTAGAGACAATGGTGTTTTTCTTGTAGAAATTATAGCCATTTGTGCATGTATAGATTTGAAATTAGGAAAGGAGAGTTAAGTGTTCCAGATGTGTTCTGCATGATCGTTATGCGCCTGGGCCATGTCGAAAGAGTAATAGTAGTTACGAGATATGTAACGAGTTGATTTGGATTTAAATTTGATAGGTGGGGTAAGGTGCTGAGATTGGCTAAGTTGCTGTGCCAGATGTGTTTTGAAGATACTTGGATTTGGTGAGTAGCAATTTTTGGAATTCAAAATAAACATCGAATATTCTTTGTAGTAAAGTCGTGAAGAGCACATCGATTACAGGGAGTTAGACTATTAATTGTTTGGTTTAAGTTCCAATGTTGTATCTTGAAGAGGTTGTCCTTGGAAGAGGTTATTCTACCAAAAGTATGATCAGAAGTTATGATCCAGTGTGATGAAGTATTTGCTGGGGTCCATGTAAAGGGATTTGAATATATCAGGTTGAAGGTAGAAGATGCTATTTCACTGATAGTGTCTTTAATTGTATTGAACTATTTTGGAATACAGCCATGTGGTATTTTTTGGATATTATAATAAAAGCTTTTCTAGTCAAGTATTGCGGTATTGTTATAGTTTGTGAATTGTTCAATTACTGTTATATTATGTTTGTTAAGCTGGTGTTTGATATAAGTGTTGTGTTTAATGTTGTGTAGAATGGAATTAATAGATGTGCCAGATGTATTGAGAGGGGATGAATTAGGGTTGGATGGCCGGGTAAATTGGATATTAAGTCAGTGCATATTGAAAATGAGTTGTGCAGTGAAAGTTTTGTATTCTTTGAAGGTGAATTGAGGTTGGTCAGTTAAAATGGATTTGTTAGAAGCAGTGTCATTTTGTAGTTGTTGTAATCAGATAAATAATGATGGGGAAGTAATTGGAAAATTTAGCATATTTTCAAGAATCAATGTGTGATATGCTTGTTGTAATTGGTGGGCATTCATTAGTGTGTAAGTGTGAGGGTGGAATAGAAGTGGGTTAGGAGTGTGTCTAGAGATAGATACTTTGTGCTTGACAGTAGTAGTATATTGACTTATAAGGCATTGACAGCTAGAGAGATTCAAGTAGGTGTTAGTAAGATAGTAGCATAATCTGGAGAGCAGAACTGTGTTAATGATATAGATGGCTTGTTTTTCAGTGATTTTTGCATAATTAAGTTTGATCAGTTCTGTAAAAAATTGTTTTTTGATTGTTTGAATCAAGTATTGATTGTTAATAGTATGGTCAATAAAGGTGCTGAGGAATCTAAAAGTTTGTTTTGGTGGTAAGTTGTGAATAGATTAATTTTGAAAAATAATAGAAGAGGTGTCTGTAGTATTGTTATGAAAGAGAGTAGATTTGCTAGGGTTTACAGTTATTTTGGCTATTTGATAGAAGGAGAATACAATACTAAGTATTTGTTGAAGTGATGTTCAGTTTGATGAAATCCATGTGGTGTCATCTATATAAGCAATTACATTTGTAGTAGATATACGGGTCTGGGTGAAGTTTGGTACAATAGTGGAGGTGGTGTAGTCTAGTGTAGATTTGGAGATACGGCTGATAAGGGGATTATAATATATGCGCCAGAGTATCAGGAAAATTGTTTCGCCCTGATCAATGCCATTTTTGACATTGTAGAATAGTGTTTTGCTGATAGAAGTAATGACTTGGTTTTGTCTTGTTGAGAAAATATGAACTATAAGATTTATAATTTGAAGTGACATGCCGATTCTAGAGAGGGCTTTGCTTAAGAGTGATATATGTACAGTATTATAGACTTTAGACATATCTTGTGATAGTATTCAAAGTTCTTTTTTGTTTATATGTGCATCTTCACATAAATAAGTGATATGTTGGATTGGTTGTAGAGTGGAGGTAAGTGGGAGTGCTACATTATTTGTGGGATCGAGCAAATCGTTGTATACAAGAATAGAATTGATGCGAGTTGTTAAAATTTTAGTGAAGATTTTGCGAATATGTTCAATAAGTGTTATAGGGCAAGTCTTGGAGAGGTCTCCTGATTGGTATCCTTTCTTTGGTATGGGCCAAACTAGACCTTTATGCCATAATGAAGGAGTTGTTTGTAGATTGATACAGGCATTAAAGATCTTAGCTAATGATAGAATTGCTATATGAAAAAGTTTCTTGAGCATTTCATTTGAGATTAATAAGGGGCCAGTTGCTTTGTTGTTGGGTACTATGGTTATTGTTACCTGAACTTTGTCTGCTTCAATTAGTTTTAATAGTGGTGCATATGTAGTGGGGGTAACTTGAGGTAGTGTTTTATAATACTGTTCTCATTCTATCCACAGGTTGGGTCAACCGGGTTGAGTTGAGTCTAGTGACAAAAGTGCTGTGATGTTTTTTGTTTAATTTTCTGGGGTCAGTAATTATTGTTGTTGGTGTAGTGATATTATAGAATGTGACAGGGGGTTGGTGCCGGTATAAGATACTGTCAATCATCTTGGTTGTATTGCTTTGAAAGTTGGTGTAGTATTTGTTTGTAAAATATTGGATTTTCTCTCTTTTTTGGGTGTTATTTTTGGTATTTCTTGCAGTGTATAAAGTTAAATGGAGCTGTTTAAGGTGTGTTTTTGTATGGATGTAGAAGCTGTACTCCAAGTCATTAAGTTGAAGGTGTTGATTGGTAGCTTGAATAAGTGCATTAATTTTGTCGAGAATGCTGTTAACAGAAGTAGTGATATGTTGAATATGAAATGAGATAGGTCGATTAATTATATTAAAGATATAGTTAATGTGTTTTAGTGCTCGGTATAAGGAGCTAGCTTTAAAGGAGTAAGCGTAGAAAGTACGAGGACTAGTGTAGGTATATGGTATAAATTTGTCAGCTGCTTGTTTAATAATATTGTTAAAATTGTTGAAGGTTTTGTTTAGTTGGTGTGTGTTGGTAATTTGCTAGTGATGGTAAGCGGAGATTAAAATATGGGCTAAGATAAATCCTCCTAGAGTTTGAAATTCATATGATCATAGTTGTAAGTTTTTCAGTACTGTTTTTTGAGCCAGGATTGTTTAACTATGGGGTATGTATATTGTAAAGTAGTGAGTATTTGGTGATTACTATCGGTAATGTTAGTAGGGTCAAAAATAAGAAGTATAGTGAATGAGAGTGCGATTTCAGGAGAAACCCATATATCATCTATTTGGCTTGACAACTGGTTCTGATTTCAGATAGATTCAGTAATATGGTGTTGTTGTAATAGGCTTATAAAGCTGATAAATACGAGGTGTTGGAGTAAGGAGAATTGTCTGTAATAGTTGGTGCGGTTGGTATTACAGTTAAAGTCACTGGCAATTATAAGGTTCATATTTCGAGAGCGACTATCATTAACCCAGAAGATAATTTGTTGGGCGGTATGTAGTAATGATGTTGAGGATGATAGTAGGTAGGTTGTTATAAGGTGTATCTTATTATTTGCAGGGAAGTATAGGTTAATAAGAAGGCGATACCAGATATAGTGCTGATTTTATAGATATGTAGTTGGATAGGTGGTCTTAAAGCTATTGCAACACCTTTATATAATTCACGGATTTTTGCATTAGTTTGATCGCAGTTTGATATGTAAATCTTGTAGAGCAGGTTAGTAAGTGCTATGAGGTTAGTAGATGCAGCTAATTTTGTTTCTGTTAGGAAGGCTATATCTATTTCATTTGAATCACAGTATTTTAGTAGTAGTTGTAGTTTGAGTGACTGGTTGATCCCTTGGACATTGTGGTTAAGTATGTTGAAGGTTTGTTTGATAGAAGGGGTAGTGTTGTGATGGTTAGTATGAGGTGTTGAAGGAGGTATATGGTTAGAAAGTAAGATATTAGTTTCCGATAGTTGATTGTATATGTTAGTGAATTTACTCATCAGGGACGTAATTATTAAAAAGTTCCCATTTAGATACAGGGAGTTCAGAGATATCGATGATATGGGGAGAACCCCTCTGAAAGTAAAGTGAGTATGTAAAAATGCAATAGCAGTTTCAACTTCTTGTTGAGAAGTAGCTAGTAGGATAATTGGTTCGGGTGTAGATATATAATTAATTATGGCTCTGATTTCATCAAGTGTGGATAGTAGAGAGGAACAATCTGTTTCAATTGAGGCTTTTTGTGGGATGTTGACCCAGTTAGCTGAGATTTGTTTGAAGTAGTAGTATTCTCTTAAGAGGCGTGCAGTTTCAACTAAGACTCTGAGGCTTGTAATAGGTGTGGTGATGTTGACCAGCTTTACCTCATCAGCAATCAAGGGTAGTTCTGGTTTGTTTGTAGAGTTGACTATTATGTATTGCTCGGGAAGAGGTAGAGTAAAGCAGTATTTGTTTTGAATAGCTGTCAGAAACTCTTTTGCTAGCATTGGGTCATTGATAGAGAAGGAGTATTTTTTTGAAGTAGCTACTTGTGTTGGATTTTGGGGAAGAGGCTGTTTTTGCACAAAAAAGTCAGAGGGAACACATTTAAAACTATAGTGTTGGCGAAGGACCTCAACAAAGTGGCGAAATTCAGTGGAGTCTTTGGGATTGCAAGGGAATAAGTATTGAGTAGCTGAGTTTAAGTTTTGCGGTATACTAGGTAAACGGGGTTTTTGTGGTAGTAGGTTGAAGTAGAGTGGTAGAATTTTTTCACCCATGATGTAGTATTTGGATAGTTTTTGACGGTAGAGAGCTAAATATACGAGCTTGGATGGTTCAGTGATGGGGAATAAATCACGTATTTTGAGATTGAGTTCAGAGGGGTGGTCAGGAAGGGGTAGTAATTGGGTTTTGAAGTAGCTATCGTGCAGTTTATCAAATGTGTATATTTTGCACAGAGCAAGAATGACTGCCCTGGTGTTACTGCGGTCCGTAATAAGTAGTTTAAATAGAAGAATCTGAATGATATTATCGGTGATGCCACATAGAGAAGAAGGTAAGGGTTTTAGAAGGGAGGTGTGAGCGGAGGTTAAAGTAGCTCTGATTTTTTCAAAATCGAAGAGCGTGGTAATTTTTGCGAAGTTTAGCAAGTAGGTGATATATTTTGTAATATCATGAGAGCTTTTCAATATGAAGTCCAAGTTACATAGAAAATCAAGTGCAAGTTTTGCCTTAAGTCTTTGGAAGAGTTGGTTCTGGTTGATTTTGTTAATATAGCAAACATCATGGCAACGTTTGTATCTTTCAGTTGCAATTTGTAAAAGAGTTTCGAATTCTTTCTGGTGTTGAGGTTGGGTAGAAGTATTGTGAGTAAAGAATTTAAAGAAGGCAGTATCCAAATGGATGAATTTTTTGTTAATTGCAGGTGGTAAATTGTAGGAAGTGGGAATGGAAGTTATTTTGTAGACAAAGAATTCTTGAAGTTTAGTGATATTTTCAAATGCAGAGATAATGTAGTCGTTGTGCTATTTGAGTTTGTCAAATTCATCGATATGTTGTGTTGCAAGATCTTTAAGGACTGAGGTGCACCATTTGAAGTCTTGGTGGCCTGAAAATTTGTGTTGAGGTTTAGGTTTTTGGTTACTCATAAGTGCAGTGGCATAAGATTTTTTTGATACAAATTCGATTGTAGTATTTGAGTGGGTGTCCATGGATAAGTATTGGTATGAGTTGGTAGTAAAGTCAGGTAAAAGGGCTAGGTTGTCAGCCATTAATAGGTTGGGCTCGGTTATAAGTGTGTTCTCAGGTCCAGAAAGCCCTGGAGGATTGGAAAATTGTAAATCGACTGCCGAGGTGGGTTGTTGTACCAAATTGGATACGGTGTTTGTTGTGATGATCAGCGTGAGAATTTCTGTAGTTTTTCTCACGCTAGCTAGAACAGGCATAGGGGACCCAATTGGTTTGTTGTTTTCTGGGGTATGGTGTTTTGCTCACTTTGTTGTGATTGTGTTGTAAGAACGGTTGGGAAAGAAATAGTCAAGGAGTAGTCCATTTGAGTAACTGTATTGTTGGGGTCATTTTGTCTGCTTCTTTTTGCAGGAGGGGGTTGTTAGGTGCTTGATTAGAAAAGTGTAAAGACTGATTAAGAGTTGAGATGTGTGTATCCATAGTTAGGGTATAGTGACTGTTAAAGGTGAGAAAAGGCTCAAAGGTCTGAGGAGTGGAGAAAACACAGTCTCTTGTGCATTTAATTTTGTTTGAAGATTGTAATACTGTGAGGTATTAGTTTGTTCTTTGTCCCGGAGGACCCAATGTAATATTTATTTAGCGAAGTACCGAGCTTTAATAGTTTGATTACTTTTGTTTACTCAAAATTTTGATTTTCAGGAGTGAACCAGAAAAAGTATTCTTAAAAATAGTTCTTTAGTATTCAATTTTTTATTTTAGCTTTTAATTTGCCTAACTATAAATAAAGTCATGTTAATTAAAAGAAGTTTTTTAGTGGTTGTTTTTTTTTGTTTTAGTATTAATCTATTTAATCTTTTTTTTGCTAGTAATAGAAGCTGTGTATTGTTTTACAAAATAGTTTATAGGTTTGTTTAAGCAAAAAAAAAATAAGGTGTATTTTTAAGTGAAAGAACAAAGTATATTCAAAGTGAAAAAATAAATTTTGATAAGAAAATAAGGTATATATAGGGGAAAGTCAATAAAAAAGAGACAAATCATTTTTAATGAAATTTTTTTAATTTTTAAATTAAAATAACTTAACAACTATTTAATCAAATTTGCTAAAAATTTTTTTATTTTAATTTTAAAATTATATAGAATTTAAATAAGAAAATTTATAAATTTACTCCCATGTATAAAACACAGGTATAATTTATAAAAAAATTTAATATAAAATTTAAAGAAAAAAATTAAATTGAATTAAAGTTAAG